CAGTAGAAAGGGTGTGCTTTTTAAGTGCCTGAACAGGGGCAGCTTGATAGTTAGACTTCATACAATTTTACCTTCCCATACATTTAAAAGTTAAGCTAAAATTACTTCATAATGTTATCTGCTCCTTTTAAATATGCAAAAGCCTTAAACTACAGGTATCTAGAGCAGCCAGTAACAATTCAGTTATGATGCACTGAGAACAGGATCTCCCACCTACTGTATAATTAGCTCATGTGGTAGCTTTGTACCTTGTGTTTACATACGTCTCCGTCAGTCAAAAGCATATAAGTGTTAACAGACCCCAGAATATCTGAGCACAATGACTCATTCCAGACAGATTCTTTGGTTAGGAAGCAAAGGTAAGTGACATTCATGCCCCTGCATCTCAGATGCTGCTCTCCTCAACAGGATTCTCACATAAAGAGACTCTTGCTCAGCATGTTTTAAAATCTTCATTAGCATCAAGGTTGAATTTCTCTACCATCAGTAGAAGAATGGAACAACAATCAGCTATTTTAAGTCTTGCTGAGAACACTTTCAGTATTTTTCCGTTAGCTGAGCAAGTAAACTTCATTTACTAATGTTACCTTAACAGCAGGTTGTGCCCATGAACTGCATACTTGGGTATGGCCAGTAGGAACCTTCTGCAGTTCAGCTCTCTACCCTAACTATTTCACAATTAAACTTAAGTAAAAATCGGTACATGACACAAACTTTGTTGACAGTACAGTGCAAGAAATTACTTTAATAAATTCCACACCACAGGAAAAAAACATTACTGAAACCCATAGAACAGCCTTTTAGAAACAGGGCTTCAGACTCCACCCATAAAATCAGTAAGTAAACTCCATGGTGCCTCCCTTCCCTCCAACAAATCTTCCACAGGCCGGGAGGCCCTCAAATTCAACTCATCTCAACTCTAAAGTACATAGACAACTTCAAGAAGCTGCAGCACTGCTATAATGAAGTCTTTAATGTACTCCAGTGTTGCAGATGTGACTGGAAAGTGAATATTAAACAGTAGGGTGGAAAGTAATTTGGTCCAAATCCACAGGACGCTCTGACAAGTATTTGGGCCAAGATGGCAGAAGCCATCCTTGATCCCTTTGAGTTCCAACAAATGGCACTGGTGACCCAGTATACAGCAGGCTTCTTGAGTCTTAAAATTTCCTAGTGGATCACATCAGTGGGGCAGGGTCTGGAACTCTTAATACTACCTGCTAATATTGACAGATAGGTTAGAATTTCTTTTTCAAGGCCAGGTTGGATGGGGCTTTGGGCATTCTTCACTGCTGAGAAATGGTTCACCTATGTGCTTTATTTCACTCACCAGTGAAGATACTGCCAGATTTCTTAGTGTTCCTACACTGATGCCATCTTACCTGCCTGGCAAACAGCTCTCAGTTCCAGCATACCATAAACGAAGTCAAAGGCAGACCTATGCTTTCCCCCCTTAACAAATTTTATTTGCAGTTTAGCCTTTATGAAAGTCCATTTCAGCTTTCACTGAAAAGTTCAGGGGAGTGTAGAGGTATTACCAGGTACCTAATACTCATGAGATTTCACTTAACCAATAATTACTGTTTTAACAGGAATTAAATGAATATAATTATGCAATTCATGCTGAATCTTACTCCACAGAAACTTAGTAACAATCCCGGTTCTGATTTGTAGAAATAAAAGGAAAAATTTGCTTTTCAAGAACTCCCTGTAGAAAACCTGAAAATGAGTAAGAACTAGACTGGAACTAGAGCATTCTCTCTCCAGTGTCCACAAAACACTATGTAATCTTGCTCCAAACTACCTAAACCAGAAATAAAAATGTAGTTGTAAGGTCAGATGCTATATTTCTCATTTATACTAAAACCTTTTGAATAAAGGCTGAGGCAGTGTTTTTGCTGGCAGCTGAATGTATGCCTCAGAGCTGAGGAGCCGCTCTCTGATAAAGCGGAAACACCAATTCTATCTCCATTCCAACACTGGTTGTCCTCTTCCACTAAGAGCACAATTAAGAGTCGGGATTCTTCTTAGGCACCACTTCATGCTATACAGAATACATCACATCTTCAAGTAAGTTCTTCCATTGTCTTGCTTCATTTTATTCCTGGGGAAGGAGTCTTTAGACACTACACAGAAGCAATGTGAGCTTCTAGCACGTAAAACATCAAAACTATCATGTATATATGCAGGCAATTTCCACATTGATTATTAAGAACTTGAGGATCACTTCTGTGTATCTGCAGAACTGCATATTTTAACTGGAAAAAGCATGCAATCCTTTATATAGAATCATAGAACAGTTAAGGTTGGAAAGGACCTTAAGATCATCTAGTTCCACCCCCCCTGCCATGGGCAGGGACACCTCACACTAAACCATCTCACCCAAGGCTTCGTCCAACCTGCTCTTGAACATTGCCAGGGATGGAGCATTCACAACTTCCCTGGGCAACCCATTCCACTGCCTCACCACACTAACAGGAAAAGATTTCCTCCTTATATCCAATCTAAACTTCCCCTGTTTCAGTTCTAACCCGTTACCCCTTGTCCTGTCACTACAGTCCCTAATGAAGAGTCCCTCCCTAGCATCCCTATAGGCCCCCTTCAGATACTGGAAGGCTGCTATGAGGTCTCCACGCAGCCTTCTCTTCTCCAGGCTCAACAGCCCCAACTCTCTCAGCCTATCTTCATATGGGAGGTGCTCCAGTCCCCTGATCATCCTCCTGGCCCTCCTCTGGACTTGTTCCAACAGTTCCATGTCCTTTTTATGTTGAGAACACCAGAACTGCACACAATACTCCAGGTGAGGTCTCACAAGAGCAGAGTAGAGGGGCAGGATCACCTCCTTCGACCTGCTGGCCACGCTCCTTTTGATGCAGCCCAGGATACAGCTCAGGATTGGCTTTCTGGGCTGCGAGCACACACTGAAGCTGGCTCATGTTCATTTTCTCATCAACCAACACCCCCAAGTCCTTCTCCACAGGGCTGCTCTGAATCTCTTCTCTGCCCAACCTGTAGCTGCGCCTGGGATTGCTCTGACCCAAGAGTAGGACCTTGCACTTAGCATGGTTAAACTTCATGAGGTTGGCATCAGCCCACCCCACAAGCATGTCAAGGTCCCTCTGGATGGCATTCCTTCCCTCCAGCGTATCAACCGAAACACACATCTTGGTGTCATTGGGAAACTTGCTGAGGGCACACTCAATCCCACTGTCCACGTCATCGATTAAGATGTTAAATAAGACTGGCCCCAAACACCGACCCCTGAGGGATGCCACCTGTTACCGCTCTCCAGCCAGACATTGAGCCATTGACCACAACTCTGTGTGTGGCCATACAGCCAGTTCTTTATCCACCGAGTGGTCCATCCATCATATTGACGTCTCCAATATAAGGAATGCTTAAACATATTAACTCAGGTCTGCAAGACAGATAAATGCTTTGTATAGCCATCCCACTAACTGATGAAGCACCAGTTACCTCTTAGCTGTTTCCTGACCTTTTGTTCCCATAGTGCAAAGTAAAAGACCTTTTGTTTGAAAGCACAGAGGTCATTACCTAAAGGGAAGGCAGACTTTTTTTCTGCATCAACCAGCCTTCAGCTGAAGACAGCAAGATGTGGCATCAGCAGAGTCTAGTTCCCCTGGTGCCCCAAAGCACATTCAGTACTGCTCACGTTCAGTGAAAGAGCAGAGATTACCAAGACAGTAAGTTCAGTAGAGCCCAAAGGAACAAAATCAGTGCTTTCAGTGGCCAAAGATAACATGCTGAAGCACAGTACTTCAGATTTAACCATTCCAGTACCTAACAGCTTAAAAGCAAGCCACCTGCTATAGGAAAAAGTGCTGGTCATTCAGATTGAAAGGGCAGGCAAAGCAGCCTTCCTTCATAAGCATGGAAGTCAGCCAGAGACTATTCAATAAGGAGGCCAAAAGAACAGTGTTGGGCTTTAAGGAGGCTCTTCGCTTGACTCATTTTGTGCCCCTAAATGGTCTCTAGCTCTGGGAGAGTAAATTGTCACAATCACAGACTGAAATGAGGAACTGCCATGAAGCATGGCCTAGTGCATTCGTCAAAACAAAGGTATATATTTTGGCCACCATCTTTGGTAAGTCTTACTCTTCAGGCAGAATGCCCTTGTTTGGGGGGAATTCACTTTCAAATTAACAAACTGTGAGTACAATAGTCAGTAGAAAAGATCAAGACTTTAAAAAAAATTCTTGCAGTCTCAGAACTGCAAGCTAAAATTGTGTTCCTGAAAGCTGGATATTTGAAGACTTTGGAGTGGAGGGGGGAAAAGCCAGGAAATCAAGTACTTAAGTTAACATTTCTGAACAAACCCAATAATATGTTGGCACAACTGGTACATCAATGTTTTTTGAGAAGTCTTGGAGTTGACAAATGGAGATGAGAAATTGAAATTTGCCAGTCATCCTTTTATTCTTGTTTTAAAGTGCCGGCATCCATCTGGTAGTTCTTTCAAAACGTAAAAAACCGGTCTAATATAGTCAACCTGTACGCACCAGCTATTGCTAAAATAAAGTACTAATACATCATAATGTAGTTCAGGCTTACACTATATTGATTCAAGTAATCATCCTCAAGAAAGCAGCTGAAATGCTGCAATACAAAAGCAGCTTCACCTACAAAGTAAGGTAGTCTGCCCTCTTCACATGGTACAAGTTTAATTACCTACATCTGTGCAAAAGGAAGTTTTGCATCAACTAGGACTAAGGAAATCATTACTCCAAATCTTTTCTTCAAAGACTCCAAAGCTCATAAGATTTAAATACCCTGTTAGCATTTACAGTACTCAAACAAACCTGATTAACTGCAAACACAATTTTGGGGTGCAGAATCTAGATAATGAACTTAAGTTCCTTCCAGCTAGCAACACCAGTATTACTTTCTTCTGCCTTTATTCCATGATTTAAGTGCAAAACACCATTTGACAGCTCACAGCTTCGAAAATGAAGATACAGAAAATTCCAAAATGAACATACCTGTTATTTTGTCCCTGACAAGCTTGCAGGATTCTATCTCACCAATGCTGCCAAAGAGGCTCTTCAGTTCCTCTTGTGTCATGTTTTGTGGAAGGTAGTTGACTATTAAATTGGTCTTGCTGTCTTCTGCATTCCCAGAATCAACTGGTGATGAGCAGTTGTTTATGGTGGTTGAACCATGGGTTGTGCTATTGCAAGTTGGTCCATTAGACAGTTGTGTTTCCATGGCAGCAATTACCTGCTGAAAAACAGAAAACAAGATCAAAATTCATATTTCACCATCTATTAGGAAAGTTCAGACAAGAATCTGCAGTACCTGTCACTAGGCAAGGCCATATTCTGCCTCTATAATGCAAAAGGCTCTACTAATACAGAAGGATTTTTAACTAAGGCAAAGCAATACTTCAAAAAGCTTACAGGCAAATAAAATTGCCACAAAACTTTCTAGGATCCTTCTTAATGAAGTCAGCAGTCAAAGCTTAGTTTTCATCAACCTGCATTCCCTACATTTAGCGGCATCACAGCCTTTCTAGTTACCAAGCAGAACTGGTCTGTTGCAAGGATTAACAGTTCTATTAACTTACAACTAGTAACTGAAATTATATGAAATATAGCTTTTAAAGTTACAGCATTTGGTTATTTTCAAGAAGAGGTGGGTGTTAACTGTATCCTAAGCCTATTTCTCATAAGCAACAGCAGAACGCAAAAGCACAAAAATTAGCAATCGAAAGGGACCTGGAGATATATGGATGTGCTGGGATAGAAAAACTCCTCCTTGGTAACCTCTAGATCAACCTTCTGTCACCAAAGATTGTAATTAGGTTTCTAAATGCTTTTGGTTAAACTAACAATCCCTGGTTCTCACATCTTCCCTCCACCTGCACCCTGAAAAAAGTTAAATATTTGATACTTTAACTTGAGCTACTTTTATACATCAAAATAAGAGAGTGATCACCACTCCAGGAACTATCATGTTTCACCCCAAAGTAACTGACTGTATGATTAGCAGATACAGTAGCAATCACTTGGAGAACTGTTAGGATTTGCCCACAGTATACCACTGCCATCTCAGTCAGTCACTGAATGGTAACAGTTGATAATTAAATGGATTTTTAATTGCAAACTAATACCCAGGCCTTGGTCAGCCTACCTACCCTGTCTGAGACCAACCACATAACACAACATCCAGCAGGAAATTCTATAAATTAATTTTCTAGTAATAAACATTTCAACATAGAAGCACGACTCTGCAAGAAGCTCACTAAAAATATCCAGCAGTCACCGAAATTAAACCTCATACTGAAATTTCTAGGAGGACTTCTCACACAAAGCCTACTGTAATATCACAGTGAAATGTCAAGGACCTCTGGAGTTTAAGTGTCCTGTTCAAAGCAGCATACCCTGCTTAGGTCAGCTGTACTCAAGGAACATACATTTAAATTTCCTAGAAATATACAAGAAGCTAAACTGACTGTCTTTAAACTACAATTCAGACATTCCTGGGAACACACTTATATGTTTTGCGTACAGAAGTATTTTCCAAGATGTTACTTCAGCACAACACAAGAAAGGGAAGATGCATCTATTAAGAACATTTCATATAAAAATCTGATCTAGTTTTCCTGAGGAGCTAGAAACTGGAACAACAGTTCCTTTGTGACAAACTCCAAGTGGTAACCTGCTTCTGGCACTGATAAAACAAGTCTGCTGAGACGATGAGAAAGTAGATGATCCTAATTAAGATAAAATTACTTTTCAAAACACTAGTATATCTGGCAGAGCTAGTAGCCACAAATGCTGTGCTCTGACTGAGGCTCTCTAGAATTGCTTTTCGCACCCTCTCTCTCTCAAATTTGAAGTGTTCATTGATCAAAATTAGCAGGATTTAGCAAGGACAACAAACAATCCTCACTTAACTGCACATTTGTTTCTGTGTTCAGGTGGCAAGAATGAGAGCCTATGCCAATATTCAAGTGAACAGGTGCAGTAGCCTGTGTGTGCTGAAATTACAGCATTTCTCAGCTATAGAACCATCTGCTCTGAACAAACTAGTATGTTTTACAAATAATGCATATTCCATAGATAAGTTGAATACAACCGTTCATAAAACACAAAGCACATCAGCAGTTACTAAATATTTTCCACCCAGAAAAATAGTTTGAGATAAATTTACAGTTTTCAAACAATTTCTTAGAGCAAGATTTGTAAATATACTTTTAAAATAGCAATCACAAATAACAATATACAGGGGTTTTTTACATTATTGCTATTTAGTATTCAGACCATACCAAAACCATTTTAGTACAATACTACTCTTAATCATCCACCGAGTGATTTGAGTTCATACTGCAATCTAATTGACATTAGAAAAAAGGCAAGTCACTGCAGTGTAAGTTCTACAGGATATCACCATATCATATAAAAAAGTTGTCATGATACACCAGTGTGCTCCAGGCTCTCACAGATTAGGGACACAACCGACAGCCTATAATGAAGTGTAGAACAAGAGTTAACACAAGAGTTAACATTCCAAATGGAAGATTAAGGAGTTTGGTATGGCCTCAGCACTATTAACATTGTTAAAAAGTATCCTGCAGAATTTAAGAAAAGACCCACAGACCCCAGTCCAAGGCTCTGCTGCCCACGAACCACTTCTAAGCAGAGAAGCCACATCACACAGTCTGACTGCCATGTTAGTTTGGAGTTGCCGTCTGCAATATGGACACAAAAAGTACCATATGTTAGATTAGCAAGATAATGCAACAAATCAGTTTGTACAAATTTACAGTAATTGCATTTATATTCCCAGCACGTCCATGCAGTGTGGCTTAATTGGATTTGAGGCAATTCCAATCTAATCTTTCCAAATTAAGTTCTAAAGTAATTTCTCTTACATAAGAAGCTTATTTTTAAGAAGAAAAAGATATTGCAGTCTAGTGACCGCTGCATCTACCCTGGAAACTACCTCCAGAACCACACCATGCCTAAAAGGAACTACACCACAAATTTTTTTAAATCTTTAAGACTGAGGGGAAACAAACAAAAACAAAAAAAAAACCACACAAAAAAACCCCAACACAATGAGTCCATTAGCACATAAAATGACCATGCAGCATTGAAAACCAACTCCCCTTACATGCCTTTCCCAGCCCACAAGAAAAATACATATACAGTGAACTACTTTGCTAAAGAATCCCATCTGTTCTTAAAATTCTAGGTTTTAAAAAAAAATAAATTCTTGACAGACAGTATTCCACAATTTCCTTGCAATAAGTGTTTAAGAGTACACAATAAGTGGCAGTAGATGATTTCTCAAAAATGGAGTAACTGAAGCAAAATATGCAAGAAATAGCTCTTCATAATGGTATTTTTGTCCCCAAGCACACTGTCTGCTTTTAAATAAAACATCATTTCAAACCCACTCCTATTTGAACTGAATAGTGCTAGGAGGATAGTACAAAAGCTAATGAGCCATTTACAGATGATTACAAGTATTCCAGATGTTAAATATAAGCACAATGGCACAAATAGGGAGACTCCTGACTGCGGCCACAGCTTCACACCCCTGTAAATACAAGAGATGCTTGCCTCTGGTTAGCAGACGAGGCAAGTCTGAGCGTTGTAAAAATCACAAGGACTCAGATTTTAGAAGGCTACTGCATCCAGTGTTTATAACACATACTTCAAAACAACCTTGCCTGTTTTAAACTAGTGAAAATTAGTCTTCATTTCAGTTTGCTACCACAGTAAATACAGCTGGCTGACTTCATGTCTGGTCTTTATTTTTAACTTAGACTGATAAAGGCCCTTAACCATTTCATTAGGAAAAATATTAAGACTTTTGTTTCACGTGCTAGCTGGAAAGCCATTCTCTCTGGTTTCTACCCAAAACCAATAGTAACATTTTCACTTCTGAAGTATACACTCTCCATTGTATACAGGCAAGTATGTGTGATGAACTGTTCATTATATGAAGAAAAACTGAAAGCCTCAACTGACTACTTTCAAGTCCAGACAAGCTTTAATGAGACTGCATTAAAGTAGCAGTTTACAAAATTCTCTGCCCTACAGAGACAGTAGTTACCTGTGCAAGATGATGTATTTGGATCACTATGGCTCTCAGCCCAGCAGCATGAGCTAATAGATTTTTTGCTTCTTGTGAGCCGCTGGCTGCAGACTGAAAACCCTAGGACAGTTTACATGTGTGCACAGGACTTGAGTGTACTCGCTACATAGACTTTACTGTGCACAGACATCACAGCACATCTCAAAAAAAGCACATCCCAAGAAGTACCTCCAGCTTGCATAACATCCATCTTCGCTGAAGTGTTCCACAAGGTACCTCACACCAGACCACTACCACAATATCATGACTCAAGAACAGATTTTGCTCTACCAATCCTTTTACCATTTTTATTACTTCCAAAGCTGTACAGACTGGTCTTTTACATCTTACTTGGAAAACTAGAGTTCTTACCCTTTTATCTACACTTCTACCTGACCCAACAAAAGAGGTCAGCTAACTACACCAAAGAAAAACAAATGTAATTTAAAAATGTTTTCAGTCTGAACACTTAAAATGGTACATTAACACAGAATTTGAGCTGTGAGTAGTTTTCAAAAAAGTTGTAAAATACCAAAATCCTGAAGAGACACTACTACCATGATAAAAAGCTAATACAGTTTTGACTATTAGTTTCAGAGAAAGTACTACACTTTGGATTATCAAAGTAGCTCAGCAGTTACTGCATTCAAAACCTAAATCAGTAAGTTCAGGAAACAGGGCTCTATGCCTGTTCAAGAAATTTAAGTTTATCTTAAAATACATTCAGATTAAGAGGAGAACAATTAAGTGAAGTTAGAAACTCTGCTTTTTCTTTATAGTCCTGACAGGAGCCAGAATTGAAATTAATCAGTTCAGCAAACAGAGTGTTGCCCTTTATAAACACACAGCACATGGGATCCATCTCCCTGTCAATAACTTGCTTTTGATTCACCAAGCACAGTCAAGATTTTAAACCCAAACACTCTTAAACACTGCTAGTGGCCTTCACTGAATCCCGGTTTCTGGGATTCCCAGCAGCAGTTTACGTAAGTCATAAGTAAGGTACACCTAGCACACCTTTGTTTTTAAAGGCCAAAGACATCAAGAGTTAGAAAACCATATGGTTTATGCAATCAGTTTCCCATAGAACACAGTTCCAATTATATCAATAGTTCATTTTTATGAAAGTCTTAGAAAATAAAGTAGTACTAGACCAACAAAACAATCAGTACTTTTACTAGTTTTCCCTGCAAAACACGTATTTTGCTGTGTCATATACTCAACTGGTGATCCTCAGCTGAAAATGCAAGCTGAGGCTGAACTGTGGCACAACCAAGATGATGTGAACACAGAAAAGCCTTCAACCACCTACCACCTCAGGTGCACATGCTAAAGAAATCTTTAGTTCATCACACTTCTGGCCAAAGCCTACTACCTCTTTTGAGTCATAGCTGTGCTTCCCCATCATAGAGGGAAAGAAAATATTTCGTATCAGTTTTATATGCAGAATTGAATCCTATTTATAAAGGCCTCACAAAAAAAGACCACTGCAGACATGTCTACCCTGATTATTACATGTATTTATTACATGAAGGTGATTACAGAAAAAAATCAGCACCCTGAATTCAAGCAGCCAGACACCAAATATTAAACACATCTGACTCCTCCAACAGGCTACTACTGTTCAGAGGCAACTGAAGCTGCACCATGAAATGCCTCCAGTCTCAAGGGTCACAGGTGATAGAATGCTCTCGATAAAATCCTGAGATGCTACACATGCTCCCACAGATGCTCCTGAAGAAGCATTATACCAGGAGATCTTCAGATCATGCTTTAGAATACAGCATTTGCCATCTTGCCTCTTACTTAGGGACAGTGCAATGGAAGCACAGAGCAACTGTCACACATTGCTATTTAGGTAAGCAGATGTTACATGTTTCTTTCCCCATGGACATGTACATTGACTGTCATATCTTCCAGATATGAAAAGTCTAAACCAGAACTTTAGTCTCAGTTCATCATGCAGTTGGGGGGGGGTTGTGTTGTTTTGGTTTTTTGTGTCGTTTTGTTTGTTTGGGTTTTTTGGGGGGGGGAGTTTTTTTTTATTTAAATACCTAGTGTGTTTTAGAGGATTTATGCCACCTACTTTGACTCACAAGAGTAATGAATGTAGTTTAGCAAGGGTAAGCTGTCTGTCATCTGTGAGGAGTGCTGCTAAACATCTTAAATAGAAGAAAAAAAAAACAAAACTGTTTTTTGAGAGCTCTGTGAAAGGCAATAGCCCTGACATAACCTAGATACTCAACTTTGCTTTAAAAAACAGAACTCATTAAAAAAATAAATTGAAGTGCACAATTATTTGTACTTTGAACAGCCTCAATTCCTAAAAATCAGTAAAGATGAAGCATTATCTTTACTAGCCTGTTAATTTGAAGGGCTCACTCTTCAAACAGTCAAGTAACTTGCACCTGCATGAATGCAGTGTCTTATTTCATGCATACTTGAAAGAGCTCTGTACAACAAAAGACAGTGGAGGCTGCTGCACCCAGCATATGCAAAAACTGCCATACAGGCTACTAGAACATCCCAAACTTCTTCATGGGTAAAGGCACCTACAGGCCAGAGGACACCTCTACAGTCATTCACCTTGCTTGTCAGAATGAAACACTATTCATGTTCAGTTTCCCTGTAGGAAGGACAGTTGTCAAGAAAGAGCTTGATGGTTACCCTTATGACCACATGTTAACAGCTCATATTGTGCCTGGTGAGCCTGCACAAATAGTGCTAACTCCTTAGCCTGTGTTTTCAGTTATTTTAAAACAGTATAAACCAACATTTCTCCATTAGAGCCCTCCCCAGCTGCATGTCCATTCATTTGTTATTCCCTGCATTACACTACTGGGAAAAAAGAAAGTCATCTGTAGCGCAAACTAAATTAGGGTACTGCTCCAGGAGTTAACTTGCTCAGCCCAGGAGACCCAACCAGTAAAGTATCTCTTGATTTATGCAAAGTTATGAGGAAAACCTGTTATACAATAGAGATCAAAGGAGGAAACAGTCACAGAAAACTTCAAATTAGCTTGTGATAAGGTGGTCTCAAAATTTTCAAAGATACTAATATAAACACAGGCAACCCTAAAACCAGAAAGCAGAAGTACTATGAAACAATAAACCCAACCTACATAAACTCTTTTAAGGTGGCAGGTTAGAAGGAAAAAATCTTTCCATACTGGCTCTCATATGAATCACTTAACTAATACCACTTAGCACTTCTAACACACAAAGGCATCATGAGAAAGTGAGTGGAGATGGAAGATGTGTGGAAAGTCATATGGGATATTGACAGTTTAATTTAACCATGTTATCAGTGCTGCAAAAGTTAATACACAAAAGCTTTCAGAAAGGATGTAGAAGCAGGGCAGACTTCCCCATTCCAGAGAGGCAGTGAGAAGACAAGCAGACAGCTGCAGACAGCTGCACAAAAACCAGCCATCAGTACTGTAAAAAGTATTAAAGTATTGTTTTTCCACTTGGCCACAAAGCACAAATTTTGCTATCAGCAGAAAAGCTTGATAATGCTGGTTACTGCACTGAAAAAACACAAGGAAGAAGGTGCAACTTATATACTGAATGTAAAAATGTATAGGGAATGCTAAAATATATATGCAGATGAAAAATATCTCCACACAGCATGCAATGCTTTTGGAAACTCTTAGCATTCCTGACAAAAAAACTAAAGAATCACGGGATGCTCTAAAAAACCACCACACTAACACTACCAGTGCATTAGGAAAGGAGCCAGCATTACGACTTGCAAGCAGTTCTGAAAAAAATAATGTATGTAAAACAAGATGAGGACATTATTTGACAATGAGAGTAATCTAGAGACCATGCAGCAGCTCCTCTGCCTGACTGCAATTCCTATCTTACCACCTGGGGTGAAAGGAGGGAAATAAACAGGCT